TAATGTACTGAATTATCTACATTGATTAAGAAAATGCGTATTGAAAGGATGAAAAAAGTGTCAAAATTGATGAATTTTAATTAAATTTTAATATATACAAAAAATGGTACCAAAACAATTTGGTGTATTTAATAGTCCTGCTCAACCAACCAAATTGTTATTCATTTTTTATATTGAATTTTGGACAACTGAGCAAGTTTGAGATGATGGGAGTTGTAATTGATTAAATTTTCCTTGACTAATTATCCTGTCCTAGGAAATTTTTCTACGTAACCCTCATTTTAATAAACTGTAAAGTTGGATGAGTAATCCATGCAAAAGTTACAGTAAGCAATGAGCAATGTAGCAACAAAACTGTAGGAAGGTTATTTTGAGCGTGGAATACAGTAGCGAGAAAAAGTAGACAGTTAAGCAGGAGACTTTTTCCTGGCCACTTTTCTCTCCTCGTTCTCTAACTTGGCTCGTACTCTTGGGAGAAGAATTAAGGCGAAAGGCACGAGTGTATGAAATTATGCGCTTCCCACGGGCGTGCGAGAAATGAAGTGCTATTGCCGAGCAGATACTCTAAAGTCTGAGGAGCAGAGCTATATGTGGCTTCGAACAGGATAAGAGGAACGAAATAGAAAGGAAAAGGTACGAGAGGAGAAAGAGGCGAGCGTGCGATGAATTTCAGATGTAATGGGAATTTATCAGAGCGCTGCTGCGCATTTGCATGGACCGCGAGAGCCGAGCTTTTTTGAAATTTAGTCATGGAGAAAGAAAAGAGGATTCAAGTCTGCTAGGATACTCATACTTTCTCCTCAAAAGTGAATTGGTGTGCTCAATTTCCTGGCTAATGGCTTGAATATTTCAGGTGTTTGTAGCTGTTTCTCCTATAACAATCTCTATTTGGCCACACTAACAATTTAAACGCCAGAGAAGGCTGGTCTCTTAAAATATCTTGTTTAAGTTTAGTTCTTGGAACAATTTATTGAATGTAGTTGTAATAAATTCATCCCTTGTTTCTGAATGAATATTATCATTCTACTAACATACAGGTTAACACTTAGTCACAATTAATCTATAGTGTTATCGATTGTCATTGAGATCAAATACACAACTTTCAAGAAAGTAATATCTATTCTGATTAAAATTAACATTTTTAGCCTAATGTGTGCAAAGTTAGATGATCAGTTTGAGCACAGTGCGTGAACTACTTACTAAGTGTACTGGTTCACATGTAGTTACAAAAATAAGAGCACTTAGGGTACAGTTAAAATCTTTGCACATGAAATGTCAAAAAATAGAATAAGTTGCTAGAGCGCACTGTGATTATAGCATTCACACTCGGGAAAAAATCACCTACTTTGTACACTTCTTACCTAATATACTTAAATAATTTTTGTAAATAGTTCTATTTCTTATAATAAAATACTTTATTTAAAGAAAAAAATTCAGAAAATTATTGGGTTAATCACTATTCAGAACAGTTAATTATATTCGCTTTTCTACTAGTATTTATGATAGAGTTATCGTTAATAGCATAATAATCGATATTTACTATGTATGTGGAGTTTATTGATTCTAAAAACAATACATTATAATCAAATTTATACAGCCCGTTTACATGTTAGTTTTCCAAAAACTTTAATCTAAAATTTTAGTAAATTTTACCCTGCATTTTAAACTATGACAAAATGAAGATTCACCATTGAAGCTGCAACAACATTTTAATGATTTTAATAGGTTACCAGGTCATTGGGTTTTGTATGGTAATATTTTTTTAATTTTCGTTTCCTACTAACTCCATATTTTTTCTAGAAAACGTTTCTTTTAACATTCGTGGTTCTTTGAAGAACATCCAGCCAGAACCTGAGACAAAAGAGACATTTTTTGCCTCACGGAGCAAAAACAAGTAAATGCCGATAGCGGAAATTCTCAATAGTGGCTGTAGCCTGATACAAATTTTCTGTGCTAAGAATCAGGTCGATATCTGAAAAGAGGCATATAGTCGTCGAATACTCTTCTATGCATACAACGGAACGTACAGTTGATTTTGTTTTTCTTTGTGGTACAAATTTTAATAAATACATTATTCTGACTAAATGTATAATTAGTAACACGCAGAGTAGAAAAATATTCAGTTTGTTATTTAAAAACATTTTTACACAATCCAATTTATATTATTTATTTTATTTACGACTTGATCAGTTGACACTATTAGCCAAACAAAATTAAAGTAGATATAATTCAGCAAAATGCAGAAGATAAAAAAAAATAGGGACAAAGAGAGGAATGGGCCGAAAAAAAAAGTTGTACTGCTCAATATACAATCAGGCTGGGATCGAGTTGGAAGGGAACTAACTCCGTTTCCTGAAAAGTAATCGAGACGTCAGGTTGCATAGGTTGTAGTGGCACGCCTAGCTTTTGTATATTGCACTGAGTCACGTTCGTTCGCTCGATATACGATTTACGGAAACCACAAGGACGGTCGGGCTCTCCTCTCCGACCAGCTGCACGACACACATGCCTTACTTATTAAACGGAAACTTTAGTTTCTGATCTCTTCTAGATATATTAGCTGAGGACTTTTTCTCTATTTTTAGTAATAACTAATGTCCGTGAGATTATTTTGTTTTCTTATTCTAGAAATGTATTATTGCGAAAATGATATGAGAAAGTTCGACAATATCGTTTCTGGCAGCAAGTATTGGTAATAATCCCGCATCAGCATGGCAATATTCTTTTCTAAATGCATACTTCAAAATATTATTAGTTGTATAAACTCACCTAATAATGTTCATCAGTAAATTTACGAGGTATTTTTGAATGAAATAAAAATAAATGCAAATATATTAGAGATTTGTCATGTTCTTTTATAGAGAAAAATACCGTGGATTAACGTGTTAAATCGTTTTTTTAAACATTTTTTTTTCAATCTTAAGTTAATTAATGTGTATGCTTTTTCATTAGACAAGTAAAACAAAAACTTTATCATAGCTCCCTCAACCAGTACCTCTTTAAAATTTCACCAACTTCCAGTGTACATTTACTGACCAAAGTAATTCAAATTAGGTATCCGTGGATCAGTGAATAGTTACTAGAGAATTCCGTAAAAATCTCAATCCTAACAGTGAAAATGATCTAAAAATATACCGATTTCCTCAATTTCAATAACTTTGTAGTGTATATAGCGTCCATTGATAAAACCAGTAGATGTTTCACTCATTCGGTTCCACGAAATATGTTGAGCCACATCCAAACCATCTTGAAGCTCGACCCCGACTCTCTGAGCTGTGAAACATCCGCGCACGAAGTAAGCCTTGAAGTTCATCCATCCGCATGATGATAATCAGCGCACTAAACAGCACAAAATTCACCTCCCACGAGCGTCAGCATCGGCAAAACTCGGCATCAATAAGCTCCGAAAGATACGCTTGCCCGCGACTTCCCTCTCGAACTTTGCCTTGTATTATCGCCGAATGGCCGGGAAGTCCCAGCACCGCTGCGAGCCATATCAGTTCCAATCTCGTTTGAGCGTGAAAGTCGGGCTGTACCAGAAAGAGAGAAAGAATCGAGGCAGCAGCTACCATGTGGAGCACGTAATCCGCGTATTTCCAACAGTAGCGACGGAAACTCGAGTAGATACACTGGTAGCCTGCCTGCTGTCCGTATAGGCGGATCAGTGACCGCAAGCCAGGTTAACCTCCTTCCTATTCCTCCCTACTGTCAGTGTAGGGGAGGTCGAGACGATGAAGCCGTAGACGATCGCGTACTGATGGTACATGCATATACTATTTGCACACCCATAAAGTACACAACCACTGACTCTTGCGACAAAGCGATTACTTCTTCTTCTTCATAAAATCTTTCCTCTCTCTTTCCACTGTAAAAGCAATAATGCCTGAGCAGATATATATGCGCAAATATGAGAGCTCAAGGCAAAGTTTCTCGGTAAAGTTCAGCTACCTTGGCTTTGACACGACACGTGGCCTTTACTTAATTGTCTTTTTTATATCTCTGTCGCGTTTTCTCTTCCTTTCCTTCTCCTCTTCCATATCCTTTTTTAAAATTATTTTTCTTACCCTGAGCCAATTTACTTTAGCAGCTAGCTGACTCTTTCGAGTAATTTGCTGCAATTCGCTGGATACATTTTTCCTCCCTGCCTCTAACTGTGTACACTGATTCACGGTCCCGATGCGACTCCTTCCTCTCTCTCTCTCTCTCTCTCTTCTCCTCGATAATCCTCTCTCTCTCACACACACATACACATACATACACACATACACTTTTGACCCAAGTGCGGTTAATTAGTCTTAAAGCACTGAGTAAATTAGAAATGTCGTCAGGGGATTGCCACTCCTTCAAAACTCAATGATTCGAGGATAACCCGACCACTGCTCGTTGACGCTTGTATATACATATTTATATGTATACGTTAATCACGTGAGGTACAACACACGCCTCGATCGCAAATGACTTCAAATAATCCGCTACGCCCCAGTGTGTGGAAATTCAATTAGATTTTCAGTCTTTGGCAGGGACGTTTCGTTTATTTTATGGACCATTAGTTTCGTTGACGTTCACTCGATGTAGAGTCTGTCACTAACAGTTTACATGGCTTGATTAACATTTCGTACACGTTGGTGAAATCTTTTTTTGATCTATTATGACGTACATTTCAATAATACGTCGTTACACCCATATTCGAATTAGAATTTATATATATATATTGGGAGGAGTACAGTAACTGTTGTGGTCGACAAGGGAATTTTAAGTAGTATAAGGTCGTTTTAGTCAGACATGTATGCCTTGTGATTCAGCTAAAACTGCAAGAATTGCAGGATTTATTATCTTCCCGTTTCAATATTAACATTCGTAATTTATTTTAAGAGGACGTATAAAGCAACTCCATGGAAAAGCAACGCCTATCATGAAACCCATGCATGCACTATGAAATACATGATTCTCAAAAATGCAAGTTCCCTCGTTGACGATTGCCTATTAATTGTCATTCACAGATACTCATCTAAGGGTAGAGCGTAATGACGACAGCAGAGGATGGCGGCTCGGAGCTGCAAGAGCTGCAGTGGGGCACGAACGACGGTCTCGGCGGCCTAAGAGGTGGCAGCGGCGGTGGAGGTGGAAGCGGAGGTGGAGGTAGCAGATCGCATTATCTACGAGGTGGTAGTTCTCACTTGCTGCGCGGCGGCTCGGGAGGCAGTTGTTATGAGGCCGAGGACCTTGAGCCACCGTCGTCAACGAGGCACCACCACTCCTCAGCCCGCGATCGGGGCTACTACAGTCCACCTGGTACGAGCTACACCATCGTTGAAAGGCCACCTAGTGCGCCCCATCATCACTCGACACACGCCACTCCATACAGGTCGCATCGCTCGCATGGCGCTACGGGGGCTAGTGGGGCCATTTCGCCTGAGCAGGTTATCAGGTAATAATGCAAAAAAAATTTTGTGGTGTATTTCATCGGACGAGATGACAGACGCTATCTTTTAACGATCATTTTTCAAGGTCAATACATTAGTTTGTATACCTGCTATGAACCATCATACATTTACTTCATCTATGACTATTTATTCGTGGAGAAAATAATGCCACATTAATCCTTACTAATTTCGTTTTTTCATGCTATCGTATAGGCATGAGAGGAAAAGATGATAGAGACATAATGTTTACGATAGATTTATTCCATTTGCATGCTCCAAGTACTCCAAGCGATCCAAAGTATTGATTAATGATTCTGGGGTTACTTGGGACGCTAGGGGCACCCTAATACAAATAATTTTATGTAGATCTGAAATTCGTTCGTTAAAATTGGGCACCTGATGAAGTAAAAACATACAACTTGTAGGAAAAAAAAAATGACTGTTACTAACAAGCTACAAACAACTAATCTCAACAATACCCAATGGTGTAAGATTGCCCATCCAAACGAACCTCCAGTTCCTCTCCTCCCATAACTCGAAAGTTCAATTGCATCCTCTTGTTCTTCTTCTCCCGAAAGGCTATTCGGCAACGGACTGCACGAGCGCCGGCAAAACGAGAGGCGAACGCCAGCCTCGAGTCCAGCTTCGGTGGCGGCGTTGCGCAATTCCTCGGCCAGCGTCGGGGGCGAGCGCAGCGCCGCGCAATCAAACACACAAACGCCCCAGCCGCTTAGCTTGCAGGAGCTTCAAGTGCGCACTGTCACGATGACCCGCGATCCACCCGATTCGCATCACGGTTTCGGCATTTGCGTCAAGGGCGGAAAAGACGCAGGTGAGATACTCAGATCTGGGTTTACGGGATTTTTATCTATGATTTATTGTTTGATAATTTGTTTTTCGTTGCGAGTGAAAAATCTTTCGGAAAGCAAAAATACATGTTTCTAGTCGTTTGTAAGTAGGCTATGTATAATTGCTGTAGGCGGCAACAGGGAATTTCCGAAATTTTTTTCGCTGATCTGCACATATATTTTATTATTGAGTCATAATGTGGCGTTTTATCATTTCGTTGAGTGGTATGAACCAAAAAAACTTCATTGACAGTTGGAGTAATGCATTCATGCTCGAATCATCGCGCGACATTTTTCTTTGGCTCAGCTTTCTTACAGTGCTTCTTATTTAGTTGTCATTTTAATATTTAGCTTAAATATGCATCGGAAAATTTGAAATTTTTTGCATCGATGCCAGTGTTTACATAAATTTTTTTACACTTTGATGCTCGAAATTATCTGTTTAATTTAATTCGAGAAAATCTCTATGATGACATTGGTGGTTAATAATATTTAAGCACGAATCATGACTATCTGGAAAAATTAGCAGATTTTTGAGCGACTGATTTCAAAATTTTCGATAAAATATAATATTTAAATAATATATATCATATAAAATTATGTAAGAGTTTGATTGTGGATGTTTTTCTTGTCTGTTTGGCTGTACCAGATGCGCCGTCAGGTAATTCGTTTAGATCCCAAAGGAAATTAAACGTATAAACGTACTTAACTTAAAAGAATAAAAACGAATAAAATGAAAAAACGATACATTAGAAGCCTAAAATTGAAATCAAATAATCGTGAAAAACCGTACGACAAAAAGAAAAATATTGCCTATATTAAATTATTAGATTTTATGTTCTACTTTGATGATTTAAGACTTCTATTTTTTGAATCTCGTGTTATAAGAATTTGATAATAATGATGGATTACATTTTGATAGCAGTTTTTACCTGTTTATTTGGAGAAAATAATAAAATGTTACTTTTTTAGGAACCTTTGATAAATTATTTCAGTATGGTAAAGATAAGTATCTATATTTACTGTCAGCAAATAACTCACTGAATTTTTTTATAACCATGAACAATATTATAATTTACTCTTTACACCATCTTTTATTTAAAAAATTTTTTAAAAACTATTCATATTAAGTTGGATTGTTTTTCTGTTGGAACTAAATCACAAATTATCTAAATGAATTGGTATTTTCAATAAATTTTTGGTATTCTCAAGTATAATAACTATTGTTTGTCTAAGCTTCATCATTAAAAAGTAACATTAAACAATTGAATGATCGCAATTCCATAGCTATTTGTGATGATCATCCTTTTAAACTATAAAATACATATTTTTTTTTTTCGACAAAACATTCGTTTTTTTTAAAAACATATTAATTTTTTTCTACTGCATTTTGATAATTCAGTCATTCGCGAATTCATAAGCAACGATTAGAGAATAATAAACACGCAAGGCTTGCAATGATATCGTTGATTATTTTATAAGTGACTAGCTTTAAATATGCACATGTGTACATGGCTCACGGCAAGTGTCGCACGAAAACGTACACCTCCTCGCATGAAAACGTAATGTAGGTGTTCGGAGGCTCGAGAAATCGCGTGCAGCAACGCAAACATATTCTACCGTTCCTCCCCCATGTATGTGCATACATTGGGTGACTAGGGGTAACTTTTACGAAAAAGACTCTGAGTTACGTGCTCGCAACCACAAACGTATCGTCGATACTGTGGCTCCAGGACGGAGAACAGGTGTATTATCATTTTTGCACGGCGCTGTTCTCAGATTACAACGAAAACGCATAGTTTTTGGCATTGGCCTCGGAGTAACGGGTTAATACCGGCAGAAACCACTATTTCGGTATATATACGTACGTATTACCTGTGGTTTGTTCAAAAAATTTTGTAAATTAAACGCTAATGACCTAATTAACGGGTAAATTCATTTTAAAAATATTTATTCATTAATAAAAAGGTACACATATTCATGTATTGTTTGTTCATTGAGATATTTTTACTTGTGAGAGTTATACGTTTGATACTTTCAAATTTTTTGTACTTGCACATTTTTTTAAATATTTTAAAACCATTTAAATAAGAAAAATAAAACTTATACCAGTATTTTCTATGATTTTCAACTCGTCCTCAATCTTCCAACGTAAGGGTCGATAGATGCAAGTTTCGCTGACAATCTCGAGCCTTCGACGAATAAAATCACGAGTCGACGCAATAGATGCACGAGACACTGTTTGCACAAATCCCTAGATATATTCCTACTATTGCTAGATTTGAAAAAAGTTGATTAGGCAAACAAGCAATCCCTGTGATTGCGTCAACACTGCTCTGCTCGCAATCAAGGAAAGTTCGCATAGTAAACGAAAAGATGGATCATTATTTGCTTTGAGGATATTTGATGCTCACCGTATTTGTCCTCACAGCTTCTTGAATTATTATTATTATTATTTTTCTTAATATTGTCGATCCATGTTCATTCAATCTTCCTTGATTAATATTTGAAATTGAAATTTCCTGTGAACCAAATTTTCGAACAAATCATCGACTTGTGAAGTATAAGTCCACGTATTGCTCATGAAACTAACACACCTTAAATCAAATCCCATCAACATCGTTTGACAGAGCAAATAGAATCCCGACGGTACTTGCTTCGCGAATAATCAAGTTTTGCCGGCAGAAAGTTCATAGTCAACATGGCAAGCGCTAAAACTTTTGCACTTTACCAGCACAATTTTTATCAAAGATTGCATATTAGCTCCTCGAAAAAAGTAGCTTTATTAATTTTAAAGCCCTTTTTACATCCAACTAATAAGCTTTTCACGCATTCACGAGGCTGGTTTTTACGTAGGCATAAACCATACACATACTTAAATCTATTATTGCATTATACATAGATCTGCATGACTATAGCGCTCCCGAAAGGCCTCGCACAGCATCAACTTCCACTTTTTTCTTTTGTTTCTCTGCATCAGCACATTTATTGCGTACAACTTCTTTTTCATTTATCTTTGTATGCCTCTTTCGTGATGCATCATATCTCTGGTATCGATCAAATTGCCAAGCTTACGCTGGAGGCTCCCTACGAGTGCTTTCTTGTCGTTGAATACAATTTCTCAAAGACGTAAAGCAGAGTACAAAATGAACTGCCAAACTTGTTCAAATGACTATACCAAACCATAAATATACATACAGAGTGTTTGTAATACGTACACATTTTTTTTTTTTTTTTTATAATTGCAAAACTTCTCTTCTACGATGTAGAACGGTATTCCAATTAGACAAAAGCTCCCGGAGTAATTTTAACAGAAAAGAGTTTAAATTAAAATCACTCAAGCTTAATTTTCACAGCCGACGGTTTTGCTTTGATTTGCATCTCTTGGAGAAGTCTCAGTGTACAGCTCGTGACAAACGACACCAGAGATCGAGAAGGCAAAGACTATATTTTGCACACTGGTAAAAATAGTAGATGGAGCAGTGCAAAAAAATATCACGCAGTGTGCATCACGATGCAAAAGGCCAAAAAGAGGCAAGAGCCAAAATATTCGAGAAAAATAAAAAGAGGAAAAAAAAACTGGCTTGGGGACGCATGTGGGTGTATGTGTAGTGTGTATGAGTGTGTGCACGCGTACGTGATTCTCCGCTGTGTTCTCAGGGGTGGGAGTCTACATCTCGCGGGTCGAGGAGGGCTCGGTGGCAGAGCGAGCTGGACTCAGGCCAGGTGACACCATCTTGGAGGTGAACGGTACGCCTTTTCGGGCAGTGACCCACGAGGAAGCCCTCAAAGTAAGTCCGCTGCTTTTTCTTTTTACGCTCTTTTTGCTCGCCCGTTCGTTTTCATCCACAGCTGTACAGTCCGTTATGCGTTTTTCTAAGCCAATTCGCCTACTTTCCTCTTTCCTCGAGATTTTTTTTTTCTTTTCTTTTCTTTCCCTCGCTTCATCATGATGATTATGATGGACTTGGTGGCAGAATTTGTTCGGAAAGAAAAATATACTGCCCAAAGTTTGAAGCGATATTTGATCATCTTTTGTTAATAACGATGACTTCCAGTGTTCATTCATATTCAATGAGCTTACGGAGCCACAATCTCCCGCACGCTCTGTTTTTAATTCATTTTACAAAGAAGCGTGGCTAGCTGATTTCCAGCTCGAGTTATACAAACACGGGGCCACAGGAACAAAGCGTAACTTTCCGTGGCAAACTTTTTGATTATGAGATCGCGTTACTGTCGGAAGTGACGCCACGACGGGAGAAGGCCATGGCCTGCACGAGTCGCGAGATCAGTTTTCACCAAACTTATCCCATTTTTCGCAAGGAAAGTAGGCATCCAGCCGAACTTTTTACAACCTTTGAAGGTATTTGGTTACGTGGATCGATAGTACATTGTTATTACTACTTTTTTTTTTTTTGCACTTCTAAAGCTGCTCTAACGGTGAGTGGTAACAATACGTGGAGTGCCACTTTAACTTATCCGAGACGACCGATTCAATTTGCTCCCGTTGCATCTTTTTCATATGCACAAAGTGCGAAGCCATACCAGCGTGAAAATTACCATCGAGCAAATTGATTAATCGGATGTTACATTCAAATTGCGCAATTGGCTGCAAACCAGCCAGCAACGTGTTGCATACGCTACTGTTTCCAAACATGCGGGGTATAAGGTGATCTTAAATCCAATCGAAGTTTACAAGTACCTCTCTCAATTAAACTTTCCGTACCGCTGCTAGAATGCCAGAATCATTCCACCGAGAATTGATTTATCTCGCATTCTTTACTTGAGCAAATTGTAAGATTGTTGTAGTACTTTCGTACTTTTCGTACCTTAACTCATGAAAAAATTCTTTGGTAACTGCAGGATCGAAAATTATGACGTAATGGACATACTCCCCCAAAATTAAATACATTTTGTAGGATAATAATTTAGCTGCACACTCGAACATAAAAACACAAAAATAATTTAAAAACTCAAAAAGACTTAAGAGTTAAAAAATCAATCTTAAAAATATTTAATTGTAAAAAATAATTGATGATATAATTCAAAAGCTCATTTCATGTTTTAAGCTGTCATGTGAATCAACAATTCGAGTTAGATTTTGAAAGCTAACGTTCTTTTGCTTGAGGGAGATTTTTTTTTTTTTTATATACGCAGCACACGTACGAGCAAATAAAGTAATTCAGTATTGAATTCACTGTTCTACGTCTCAGCTAAACAAAACATCTTACGTAAACCATCGGCCCAGCTCGTCTTCCTCTGTAATTCACTTAGTCAAACCATGTGCGCCCGTGTGTACGTACCTATGTGTGTTATTTGCACGCGAACGGAGCAGTGCCCCCATAAATCGGTTGCACGCTGGGAATTCAAATGAAGTGTGTCGAGCATCGCCAAAGACACGCTCTCTCGACTGCACCCAGCAGCAGCTCTCCCTTACCCTACATCTGCACTGCCTGTATACATACGTATACATACCGTGTGCCACCGAACCGCGTCAAGTACTAATTTAAGCAGCAGCTCAGTCTTCCCTTGGAGAGATCAAGGGATCAAAAACAGAATATAAAGAGTATGTAGGAAGGGAGCCTTCGATTAGGATATGCACTTTGTTGTCTCGACTAACTAAAAAGATAATATACATTCGCACTATACATTAGCTGGACACGTTACTCATGCGATAAACGTGTCGTTGGATATACCCAACTTGCATCCTTAATACAAAAATACTGTAGTACTCGCAAAAAATTTTATTCACATCTGAGGGTTAAGCACTCATTAATACATGAGTCAATCATGCTTGTGCATAAAGCAAAACGCAACTGAAGGCCATCATCGTACTAAATGGAAGACTAAAAAAAAATAAAAAAATAAATAAATAAATAAATAAAAAAAGAATGAGAGAAAATCTCGCTACGGCACACGTATACCCATTTTCCAGACAAAGTAGGATCAAGCCCCCGCAGCGGAGAGCCACAAGTGCAGTGTGAGCGCAGCCACCAGCCAAAGGGGAAAAGGATTGCAAAGAGCCGGAAAAAGAAAAAAAAGCAAGAAGAAAGGCCGGAAGGCTGGATGCAGAGGCAGGAAGGATAAATGCGCAGGGAGCAGGGAGAGGCCTCGGGTAATCTCGGGTGTAAACGGGCTGTTGGGTGGGCTCTGCTGATTCTCTCTCTGTGTCTCGCTGTACTGAATATATACCTACGCTCGCGGACAAAAGGTGGGCTCTGACAATGAGCCGATGGCTCGGAGCAATACGTGTTTGTGCATGTGCTTTCTGTGGCGTATATCGGCTCGATTAATTATTATGGACAAGCTGTGCATGTGTACATATATCGAACGGTCAAGTGATTAGGCATCTACCTATAGTTCTCGCTCATTCTATCTCTTTCTCTCTTTATCTCTTACTAATAATTATGCCACGTGTATAATAAATAAGTATAAAAAATATATACGGAATAATGGATAAATTATATATTGTAGAATTCGATGGTTTGTTTTCTACAAAAGAGATGTGTATCACTTGGTCAAATATCTGATTCAATCACTATGAGGTGGTGTCAGCAGATTTAACAATATTTCTGATGTGGCTTTCTCTTAAAAAATCATTTAGTAATGTATTCGAGCAATCTGGAGAGTATAAAATTCTTGAAATATATATTACGGAGCTTCATGTTGATTACAACTTTTTACTATTGTTAAAATATGACTAAAAAATTGGCTAGTAAAATGACTTTTGATGATGTACGTATTCTTACAGAATGTAAGGTGCTTCAATGATTTTAAGTATTGTCATGAAGAAATTTCACATTACGATACCATTCACAATAATTCGATTTATCAAGATATCAATTTGAGCTTGAAACATCTAGTGCTTTTCTCTGTTTAAAGTGATGTATAAACTTAAAAAAATCAACGTACTCTCTTGCTATACGCAGCTTTAAATACGAGTAAATATCAGACTGAGAGGAAGGGAATTAAAAAAACGGAGGACCCAACAAGGATGGAAATAATGAAAAAGGGTCCCTAGAGGCTTGGAGGGTGGAGCAGGTAGAGTCGTTGCTCCGACAAGGCCACTCTTGCGATGATTTTCCCATTCCCGCGAGTAATCTCTCATTTTTCCATCTTCCACGTAGCTAATTTCCCTCAATTATCACTGCCTGATAAAAAATTTTCTGCCAGACGTGCCATGAAGGCAAAGTTAAGCGCAAAATATTGTATCCTGCTGTAGTTTATTTCAAATAGTTGTCTTTTCTACATTTTCAACATTACAAAAAAATTTTATCTTATAACTTTTTTCTTCGTATTTATAGGACTAGTTAAAAAATAAAACTAACAGCAAAGAGAAAGAGTAGTTAAGGGGTTAATAGAGTAACTGGTACGCACCAGCAACGCTAATAGAGGTTAAAGACAATATCACATGAATCTGATTGTTGATCTGAACAAAAAAAAAAATATCTTAAAGTTTCATTTTCATATCATTGAAATCTTTTTATTCATTGTGTGGAATGTTTTAAATTCGGACAATATGATAGGAACATGATTTAAACAAAAAACTGTACTTGATATAAGTTTATTAAAAATTAAAGTGTATGCTTGCACTTTGCTATTTTATAATGACTCTATACAACACATCGTTTTCATGGAAATAAATGTTTTCACCTTTTGTTTTTTTTTACTGCATAGTATTTACGTAAAAACTTAATTTAAAAAAAAATACTGAAATAATTGGTGGCATTACAATAAAAACGTAATACGTAAAAATGGTATAAGTAAGATGTGATGTGTACGTTCATAAAGACGAAAAAATGTAAGCAAAATATTGTTCTCTTTAAACACTATGAACTACATTTTTTAAATAATAAAAGAATAAAATGTTTAATAAATAATTATAAAGTACACTTAATAATTTAAATTATGTAAAGTGCGTCTGATATAACTAATATTTATTTTAAAATGAGGATATCGATGTTTTATTGTTGTGCCTGATATTACTAAATGTGTTAAAACATCTGGGGTAAAAACTATATTGGACTTGGAGTTGTTGAACGTACAATTTCTAGGTGGAATAGAGACTCCAACACTAATACTTTTTCTGTATAGACTGTAAAGTATTTATTGATGTAAATAAACTTATGCTGACAAAAATATTTGATAAGCTTCTACATCATCTATGCAACATGTTATCATTAAAAAAAAGTTGCAAAGCCATTCACACTCACGTAAACTCCTCAGACACCGTGAGTACGAGCACAAAAAGCTCTGCGAAAACAAACACACGTACCCACACGCGTAAAGCCAACTCATTCACAAGGACGTAAACATACACACACGATAAAACCATGCTTTGCTAGAGACCCATACTTACAATGACCAATTCGCAAAAAAGGAAGAAAAGAAGAATTGGTGGGGCGGACGTACGCAACTCGGCTCGTTGTGCAGATCGAGCGGAGGCGCCCGGCGTCCGGGCGCCGCAAACTACTACACTCACCCCGTCATTTATTTTTCCTGCATAAGCGCGGAAGCAGTGCTAGCAGCAGCAGCAATGTCCCGTTAACGTCAACCAACCCCCTTCTTTGGCCTCCTCTTTTGCTTTCGCGTATCTATAACATTCCCACGTACACGTGTACATGGATACACGAGACGCCTCTTATCCGCGCGATGTCAAACAAGCTCGGATAGAATAAGAGGAGGAGGGAAGACCAGATCGATCAGCTATGGGTATACATCGCCCCTGACTTAGCTCATTCTCTATTTGTCTCCCTCCCTCTCTCTCGCGTACGCGGCATATCAGAGCCGT